CTCCTCCGGTGCAGTTTCCCCTGCCTCCAGGGCGGTCCATCACCTCCCAGGGCTTAGTGTCTTCCTTGCACTAAGGCAGAAATACAGTGCAGCAGTCAGCTGACTTAAAAGCTGTTGGATATCAGGAAACCACAGAGGGCAAGCTCAAATTTTGTTCTCAGCCGGCTATACCGCTGCAGGTGAACCACTTCCACTCAGCTGATGCTTTCCAGTATCATGAAATCCAGCCTAGCCTGAAAAGAGACCTAGCAAGTATTTGTGATGTGTTGGGTAGCAGCTGTCCATTGGGTACTGAAATAAGAGAGGTGTAAGTGTAGGTTGGTCTGGCTAAGCTTTGGCTAACAGATAACCAAGGTGTAAATAACTGTAAAAAAATCTACCTGGCAACCTGGCTGGATGGATTTTTTATCCATAGCTGTTTTTCCCTCATCTCTGTCACCATTATTTGTACTCTCTTCACCCTGCTGGTGTTTCTTTAGCAACCACAGAGTAGACTAAGCCAAAGGGGAGATTTGAACTTCCCTGATACCTTTGGACTTTTTCCTTCCATTCACATCCACCACAGTCAATAACAATGAGTTGCATTGTTTACTCACATACAGTGTAAAAAGACCTTCCTCTCCCTCCTTTAAAACATTTTACCAGATAACTGCATTCAATCCCTCTTCTGGTATGTGTATTATGAGCAACCATGAAATAATATACTCCCCTTTCCCTATGAAAATCCTCTGGATTTTAAAAACCCGTGGCTCTTCAGCCATCTCTTTTCCATGATTATTCATTATGGAAAACCCACTCTATATCACAGAAATGAAGAAGCACTAGAGATCATGTGCTCCCTCGCAGGCATGTCCACAAATGCTCTGTGTATTGATAGAACAAAGTAGTGCTCCTGCTGGGCTTGGTATGCCATTTCACTGGCCATGCCAGGCTAGGGTGGTGCTGCTTCCATCCCTACCCGGTCACCTTTGTTTTTCAGGAGTCACCCCTGTTTCATTGGCACAAATGCCCGTGCTGAACTGGAGGAAGGAACAGACCGGCCCAAAAAGAAACAATATTTTTGCCAATCTGTTTCTCTGCCAGCTCCAGTTTATAGTGGGACCATTCTAGTCTCTGTGCCTGCACAACTGCAGGGAGGAGGGAGGGGCAGGGGAACAGGCTGTGGGGAACAGGAAAGAGGTGCTGCCAGCCCACGTTCTGCAGAGCATCCTATAGCACCCCATCAAAGGCTTTCAGTCTGCAGCTGTTAGGAAGTCTTTGAGTGAGTGAAAAGCCAAGAGGAAGATACTAATAAGGAGGGAAGCTATTTAAACAGAAGAGGGAAAGCTATTTACATGAAGTAGCATTTTGCTAGATGTAGACACCAGTCTTAAGCGTATATGGAGGGATGGGATAGACACTGCATTTTTATACCAGCATAACATCTGGTGTCTCTACTCCAGGGACGTTTTCCCTCTGACAGGGTAAAATTATATTCTGCCTTCAAGGAGCAGAGGGTGAAAAGCCACTGTGTGGCTATGGGTAGTCCACCTGACACAAAGGGCACTGCCTCTGGAGCCCCAGGACTTCAATAGGACAGTAAGCTCCTGCCCAGCATGGGTTTCCAATGATGTGCTGTGCATGCACCCTGCAGCCACGTGTCCCCACGCTGCTTGCTGCCTTGCTCCCTGCAACCTGAGCTACGTGCCATCAGACCCTCTAAAGTCCAGAACGCTGCATCTGTGACGCCTGCAGTGGTCATGGGTCAGCTGTGAAGCACTCAGAGGAACATGATGGCAACTCTACACATGATGCTTTCCAAGAGAGCATGTCCCTCCTTGTGGCACCAGCACAGGCAGGGCTGACAGCACCATGCCTCTTACACGTTCCCACAGGCCTGCCATGAATGTCACCCCCTTCCTGTGACCCCAGTTTCTGACACTACCCCATCTCTTCCAGAGCTAGCCTGAGCCTGTTGAGTCCTTCTGCTCCAAGTCATTAGGATATTTAATTGACACACACCCAGACAATGTAAACAAAGGCAGGATAAGAGCAGATATCCACCCTGCCAGTATCCCGTCCCCAACAATGGCCAGGAAAGGGATGGGCCTTCTCCCATCTCCTGCTGCTTCTGGGTGCCTCTTCTCATAGGGTCTCTGCTTCTTGGATGCTGAGGGTGCAGGTGAGAACCTGCCCCAATGCCATGGACACCAGCACCCTATGTCTCCATCACCCATATGGCATTCCAGTGCTCAGGGTCACGGTAGAGGTGGAGTTGCCTTCACTGGCCACAACTGCTTTAACCGCCAATGCTCAAACTATCAACATCCACACTGGGGAACCCATCCTCTTCTTCTTCACCATGCTGCTCCCAGTTTCCCTGCTCCATATCTTCATACAATTCATCACTACCCTAGCTCAGCCCTGTCCAGCCTCCTGCAGACCTCTGCACATCCCTTCTCATCCTTTTCCCATGTTCAGCACAGGTGGAGAAAACAGGGTGCTCTTTTCTCCCCAAATTGAAACAGCTGCCCAAACATTTGTGCCCTGGCTTACATGCAGCCCTTCCCCACTATCTCTTCTCCTGTGCTCCCACCAGGGACAGCTCCCACCTGCATCTTCCCCATGAAAGGAACAGGCAGTGAGGCTCACTGCTGGATGGGAGGGGGAGTGCCTAAAAGGAGAAAGGGGAAATCACATAAAGGAAGCAGGAGAAAAAAGAGTGAGGCTTGACAGCCACAAATTGCACTGCAATAGCGGGAGCATCCATGGTCCAACCGTGGGAAGGGAGTCCTCTCTTTCCCACCCCACCAGCCCCCAAAGCATGTGGTCTGTTGTCTCACCTTGCATGGCCATATTTTCTGCCACATAGTCTGTTATAACCAACCCTGGAGTTTCCAGCACCTCCTAAAAACCCCTTCAACACCTTCATGGTGCAATTTAGCTACATACACACCGGGACCTAGTGCCATGTGGGCTGCCTGCTCTTGAGTGTCTAACACCGACATGGGGCTGGCAGATATCATATAAGACCTACTGGAGACTCATGACCTTTTCAGTAGCACTTAGGGGCCAGGTGGGTACCCCAAGGCCTGTCTAAGGGCTGACTTCCACCTTAGATCACATTGCACAAGGACCTATCTAGGCAGGTTTTGAATATCTAATGAAAGTGAAGCCCAGACTTGAGTCTCAACCTGTCATGCTCTCCACCATCCCCACCAAGCTCCTACCACCCTGGCCAGGCTCCAGGATAAGTTTCTGAGTTGAATTACATCTCTGCAGGGGTCTTCACCTTCCCCCACAGGAGGAGTAAGAGTAGAGCCTTATCCACATCCAGAGAAACCCCTGTACAGTGAAGTAAGCTGAGTTCCTCCATGTACAGACAGCATAAATGCCTTGGAATGCAGGAGTGGAGTACTGTCGATCTCCTGGACCATGAGAAGGTCAGGATCAGGAAGGTTCATGGCAGGTCACCTGCTGGTTTTGAGTCCTACATCTGACCCCTGATACATCTAGATAGCTCTGGACACCTTTGGATCAGGTTGGCATTCACAGTCAGGAGGGGTCTCTGCTTGTCTTCCCCTCCAGTTCACTAGTTTTAAACTAAATGATGCAATCTTTAAACCCTAGCATTTCCATTATCTTCACAAATTTTCATCTGACTCCCCAGTTCTGGCCCCCTCACCTCCGGCACTCACTGTTCCCAGAAATCTGCCTCTCTCCACCTCATTAATATCCAGCCTCACTCTGCACATCTTCCCTTTTTTCCCACCCACACAGCGATTTCTTTGCCTTCTCCCTGCCTTAATGACTTTTTTCCCCAGGACAGAGCCAAAAAAGCAATGGGGTAATAAGATGCCTGGAAAGCAAAGTCTGGAAAGCTGCAGACATCCACTACAGACATCCACCCTGCAGGCAGGAGTGGAACAAAGTCTGGATCTGGGAAGAATACAGGGGACAGGCGTCTTCATCTGGTCATGCATCCTTCCGGACATGGGCCAACTCTGACTTCTTCCCTGCAGCAGAGAAACAGAGAGATGCTAGGAACCAGGTCACCTGTCTCCTTGAAAAAGCACAGCATCTCTCTTACGGATCTGCATCAGCTGCCAGCAAAGCAAAAGGCTTCCCATATTGAGTGTGACCACAGAAAGCTCTTTCAGTTTTGTTTTGCTTCCTTTTAGTGTTTTCCTGTGGCACAACAGAGGAACTGTCCCGCCTCAAAAATACACTGGAGTCTGGACAACAGCCAGAAAGCAAACAGCATCCCAGACCCTTTCCAATACCAAAGACCTGCTCACTCCGAACACTAGCATAGCTTATTCTAGTGGTGCAAGGGGCGCACAACAAGCCACGTACAGGACCAAACATGCAGCCACAGCGATGCAGATATGCCTGTTCACCCACATTTCTGCTGTGGACAGAGCCCAGTTCATCACAACGTGTATTACCCATGGGCTGAACTAGTAAGGATTTGGATGCTGAGGCAAAACAAATCTCACCTTGGGCGCTGCAATACTGAACCCTGCAGACATTAGGTGTGATGGGAAGCAGGGGGCAAAATTATCTGATGCAAGGAACAAAGATGGGCAGTTGCATTGTCACTCCAAGAGCAAGGAGACCTAGCATTGCAGTTCTGCTGTCTCAAACCTTCTGTCTTCTTTGGGTGACTTATTAGAGAGAGGAGAGCCCAGGATACATGAGGATGGATGAACAGATGGTAGCAGTTGCTGTCTGCCATCTCCAGTGAGAAGAAGAGGTGACTCACTGTGGGACCACAGTGAATGACCCACATGGTCCCAAACATCTCTCCCTCCACAGTGTGGGGATATAAATGCCTTTCACAGGTCACAGCACAGAGGATCAGGATCAAAACCTCCCGGCAAATCTTTGCCAGGACTTTGCTTCCCTGTGGGACCAGGTTTTCCGTCCCCAGTTGGGAGCAGCCATTTCCTGACCTCAGAAGAGCAGGGAGGAGCCGACAGAAGTCCAGCATCGCTTTGTGGCTCTGCATTGGTGTGAGGCAGCTCCCCCCACTCTCATTTACATGTTGCTGCCCCCACAACTGTGCCTTCACTGTTCCTCAGTGTCACGGCCACTCCCTCCATCTGCCTGGTGTCCCCGGGGACCACCCCCAGAGCAAAGCACCCACGGAGTGAGCATCAAATACCTGGTGGACTTGGCTGAGGTCAGTCGTGCACAGGATTCTGGATGACCAGCATTTCAGGGATGACCCTCCGGCACCCCAGGTAAAGAGTCCTGTCCCCACTACCCTCCCCAGCTGTGTTTACTGCCTGACTCCACTGGCCTCAGGCTTCTTGCCAGCCCTACCGTAACTCTGTCCTGCAGGCTCTGTCCCTCTGCTCTGCTTCCCCTCTCCCATCCCCACCCTTTCCATTAACTCCTGCAGCGCTCTTCTCCTCTACCTCAAAACAGCTCCACGCTGCTGGCATTGTACCCTGTACAAACACGGGAAGGCTAAAGATCAGGCCCTGGAGAGGGACAGGAGCTGGAAGAGTTATCCAAGTGCTCAGGGCAGAGTATGTTCCTCCCTCCAGCTTTCTTCTGCAGGGTCTGAAATGCTCACCTGACCTAACATTTCCGAAGACATTAACTGTCCTCTGAAAAAGCCTCTTTCTCTCCAGTGACTATAATGGGAACATAAACTGTTCTGGGTGGTCTCTAGACCTATATCCAACCACTGTCAATGACCCAAACCCAATGCCTATGGAAGAGTATAAATACAAAGCAAGCATATATGGAACTCCCCCCAGATGCTCTTCCAGCTTCCAATTATCAGGGTCTTCCTGATCCAGGAGTGAGTTCTGCATAGATTTCTGCTCTGCAGACTCCTCCCATCTCCCTTCAGACTCATCTGACCTTTTAGCATCCTCCACATCTTGGAACCAGGAGTCCCACAGCTCAACCAATCAAAGTGCAAAGAGCTGCCTCCTTCTGCTTCTTTGATTGCTGCTTGCCAAGTTTGGTGGGCATGGTTCTTGTGCTGGAAGAATGGACATCTCATTCCTATCTAATCTTTCAGGGATGCTCATGATGGTCTCTGCCTCTGCCATAGTCCTCAGTCTACCACAAAATCCTAGCTTACTTAGTTGTTCCTTGTATAGACCTACTGTGTTGCCTTCTTCTGTACCATTTCTAGAAATGCTGTACCCTTTTTGAGACAAGATCAGGCCAGAATACTGTATTCAAATTGTGGCTGAACTCTGGAGTTACACAGTGGCATAAATCAGGTCTTTATTCTTTTCCTAGTAAAATTAACATTTTATTGGCTTTTGGGGGTATTCTGAGCACTGTGCTGCTGTAGCCCCAGAATCTCACTCACATTTTCTGGCTTTCCTTTACAATAATGAGTACTGGGAATTTTGTCCATAATAGACTGAGAGCTAAAGCACCTAAATCTGGGAGTGGAAGTGTAGGGTCTCTTTGTAAGAAAGATAACTCAGCTCCCATTGTAGCCAGAGGTGCAGTCCAGTTTATAACATGGATGTCCAGGGCCATTGGAGACATCCCAGGGTTTTCTGCTTGGTCTCCACTGCTGCTTCCTCTAAAAACTGAGCAAATATGAACAGTGGACTGCTGGAGTCACAAAGCCCATGTGAGTGCATGGCTACAGGGTTCAGGGCAACATTTATTTGACTTGACTTCAGTCTATGCAAAAGCTGCATGTTTTTAAACTTACCTTTTGGAAAAATCTGTGCTGCTATCTTCTAACCTGCCTGTCTTTGCAGTCCCTTTCACTGTCCTCTGCAAATGGTCCTGGGGGGTCACTCTTCCCCATGCCTTCCTGTCCCAGGACATGGAGACATCTCACTCATCAGAGCCATGTTACTTTCTCTGTGGTATAATTAATAAGGCACCAGAGAGATATGTTTCTGCATCTCTGAAACATCATTGCAGTGAGGAGCACCTGGGAAGGCGTTGCTGCAGGAGGCCCACGGAGGCTCAGTCTCAGAGATGCCGAAGGACAAGCAGATGAAGGCATGGGGTCAATGCAAGGAGAGATTTGCCCTATATCCTGTTCCCCTACAGGGTCTGCGATAGCTGCAAGGGCTGCCTACCTAACTGTGCTGGACCCAGTATCACAAGGACCTTTGTCCTCTTAGCAGGGCTCTGGGGTGAGTGGCTTTTTCCCTCTCTTTCAGATTTCCCTGCAGCAGTGAACTGTGTCTCCTTCAGGGCCTCTAGGGCATACTGTGGTCTCTCTAAGACCACAGGACTATGAACAGGCAGCTGCTAGCCTTGTCCTATCTTTTCTGAGATTATGCAAATTCCTAAAGGCTATTTTCACCCCAAATAGTAACATAAATGGCCACAGCCATTAACAGTGTTTTTCAGGGGAAAATCCCTGAGGGCTGCATAATGTCAATATGCTGACATTTTGAAGAGCAAATGCAGAGCCCCAAATAAACATACATCATTGAAAACTATCATTAATCTCAAAACAATCTTGATGGAGAATGGGGTAACCAGAGCTACCCATGCCACAATGGAGCTTAAGGCTCTTCTACCCAGGAACAAGGGAGAAAATTAATGGGACACGAAGATGGCTTAACTTCTGTCTCAGATAAGTAAGACCGCCACAGTATTCTCTGGTGCAGGGGTCTGGTAATCCAGGGCACTGTCCGCATGTGCCTAGAATGAGTCATCCCCTTGCACTCACTGCTGGTTGCAGAGAGATTTGTGGTTGGATTCAGTGCCGTGTTCAGCTGGTTTCCAGATACCAGCCTGGAAAGGCACAAGTCACCCCTCTGTCCTATGTCACAGCCAACAGCTCCAGGTATTTAGATTCTGTGTCTAGATATCCAAGTGTGGTCAGATGAGTTATAACCTAAATTTCCATAAATTATCATGGGAATTTAGATGCCTTATTTGTATATGAACCCCTACACGCTTATACATCTCCATATAAGTTTCTCTAGCTATAAATGATTCATACTTTAAATTCTATCCAAAGTGCCTAGAAAGAAAAATTGCTGAATATCCAGACCCTTGCACAAGACTTTGGTTATTTGGCTGTGTGATGCAATACCATGAATTGCAATGTGCAGCAAGGTTTTTTGTTTGCATTTTGGATGGTTTCCCCATTATTAGCAAGTCCTATTTACCTCTATTTCCTAGCCAAAGGGAACCTCTCTCTCCACCACCTTCTCTCAGCTAGTTTCTGTATATCCCTGATTCTTGAGACATTAATGAATGGCCTGTGAAACACGTCAACAGAGCATCTAGTCTGGAGTTCTCTAAGCTGTGGCTAAGGGACAACAGGCATCCATGAAATAGTTGAACGTGACCTAAAAAATAACTGCAAAACAAGCCCTTAAGTAATGTGTATATGCACATGTTTTTCCACATACAAATTAATGCAAAGAGGAGAAGCAACTACCCCTGTTGGGACTGTAAATGGAATTCTTTCCATCTAGAAAGCTAGTAAGATCATTTCTACAGCCCATGATAGCCTGAAAATGCAATTCGGTCCCAAATCCACTGCAGCCAGGGCCACAAAGTAGCTTGCTCTGCGTTACTTCTTGTTGGATAACTTGTGAGTGAGTTAATGCCCAGTGTCCAGACTTTACCAAGCTCTAGGGATAGAGACTTACAGCCTACGTTTCCTTTCTTGCAGCTTCCTTCCCTGGAGTGCTGGTGGCAGGTCAGTATTAATTGTGGTGAGTGGTACACAGGGATGGCTGGTGATTCACTGTGTGCAGCCTACTGTTATCTCATCTACTGAGTGAGGAGATCAGGACAAAGCCCATGTAATCTTGCAAAGTATAGTTCAGGTCCAAATTTGGGTCTGGTCACTGCTTAACCCTCCAGCTCTAGTGCTGGTGAGAGGCAACTTTGGGGCTCTTCTATCCAACCTCCCACTTGCAGCAGGACTACTCATCTAGCATGAGGTCAGGGTAGCTGTGGCTTCATTCTGCCAAGTTTTGGACACCTCCAAGGATGGAGACCCCCATGACCTCTCTGGGGACTTATTCCAGGGCTGCACCATCATCCTGGGGAAGTTCCCCATTCTCCAACCTGAATCCCCCCAACTGCAATTCATGGCCACTGCCTCTTGTTACATCACCTGGCACCACAGGACATGTTTGGCTTCATCATCTTTGTAACTGCCCTTCTCACAGTCATGGGCTGTTCTGGGGTGGCCCTTTGCCTCGTCTTAGCCAGGCTAAACCAGCCCAGCTCCCTCTGCCACTTCTTGTCAGCCCTTCCACCATTGCATTATGGGACAGAGGGTAGTCCCTAGCTAGGGGCATGTCTGGGGGTCCTGGACAAGAAGGGATGGATGCATCCTGCATGGGGTAGTTAGGGGCAGGATCCAGGCTCCTCTTGCACACCCAGCCCCATGCACAGTGGAGGGGAATCAGGCATCTGTCCAGGAGCTCAGAGCCTGCATTTAACTGCAGTTGTAGCTGGGGAATCAGATCCTCCCATGGAGGCAAGACCTCAGGCACAGCTCAGGGCAGGTATCCCCAGTGTCCAAATGTCCCTGTGCAGGCATGACTATGCCAGCCCAGCCGGACCCAGGCAGGGAACAATGAAAGAAGTCCCTGGGGACGGAAGGTGACAAACCTGACCTCCTCATAACTGACCTTTTAGATGCATTTCTTCCAGCAAAACACTTCCCATTAGGTCCTCTGCATGAGGGCCAAAGCTAGCGGCTGCCTTTGGGAGAGCGGCCACAGCCCCCTTATGGGTTTGAAATGAACAGGGAGTGACATTTTCCCCATCCCTGCTACCCGGCAGGGGCCAAGACTGGAGGCCCTTGTGATGAGTGAAATTTTGCTCCATGGCATTGCACTGGGAGAGGAACCCAGTACTGGGAGATTCCAGTATGATTTGTACCATCACAGTGAATAGCTCTTTGTTCATGGTTTCCTGTAGGGTGTTTAGAATGGGAAAGATGATTGGTTTAAATGCAGTACTCAGCTGGAAGACATCAAGGGGAAGCAGAGATGGAGGCAGAACACGAATGGAGGTCTTAGCCAAATGTCTTCCCAAAGGAAGAAGGGGCATGTCCAGCTGAGCCAGGAGTGCTGTGGTGAAGACAGTGGAAACTGTAAATGAGGTATATCCACTGTTATCCATGCATTCCTGGAGTTTTCAAGAGACCATGTGAGAATCTGGTTTGATTTAGAAACCCTGCCTTCCCTATCTGTAATTTATCAATAGGATTTGATTTGCTATACACAAGGGGCAATTTCCACTGGAACTGATGGAATCTCTTGGTGAGGTACAGCGACAAGGCAGCTCCACTCTTAGGACTCATCTCCACCTTGCAGCAATGCCAAGAGTGGGCATGATGCATGCCTCAGTAAGATTGGGCAGAGGAGAAACAAAGCAATGCCATCAAATTCAATTGCAGCAGTTTGGCATCAGGCAGACCTTGATGGTCCTTTCAGGGAGGGAAAGCCAGGGTGTTCCTGAGTCAGTCCCACATTCATTTTATTTGGACAATTTGAGGCACAACAGTGCAAAGCCACATTGTGCAGTGGGCACTAGATCCACTGCTCTGTGATCTCCAGCTGTGTCTAATGCAAGCAGTATATATGCAGACAGGCAGTATATATGCAAGAGACTCGAGGTGTCCCGTTTGCAGCAATGAAGAATGCAGTGTGACAAAAGTTGGGGATGCATAAAATGCAGAAGGGTTGTGTAGGCAGTTGGGCCTTAGGACTGTGGTGGTAACTCCAGGGTCTGGTGCCTTGAGCATCTCCATCTTTGAAAGGTCATGATTTAAAAAAAAAAAAAAGCAGAAATCTCATCATCTTAAAAGGAGAGCAATGAGGAGGATTAGGGGAACTACAAGCTGGTCAGCCTCACCTCGTTCTCCGGGAATGTTATGCAGCATCTAAGTCCCTGAGAAGATTACATAGCTCTTGGAAGTTATTTCCAGTTAAAAGAAGGACAAGAAAGACACTGGGAATGGCCAGCAGAAATTTGTCAAAGGCAATTCATGCCTGACCATGGTGCTTGCCTTCTGTGATGAGCCGACTGGCTGTGTGGATGGTATTGTGTACCTCGCCTTTAGCAGGGCCTTTTTCACCATCTCCTATAGTATCCTTATAGCCAAACTGGTCAAGATATCGACTGGATAAGATATCAACTGGATAAGTGGATGATAAGGGAGGTAGAAAATTGACTGGACCATTGGGCTCAAAAGGTGATCTGGTCAGGGGTATGAAGTCCATCTGGCAGCTGGTTACTAGCAATGTCTCTCAGGGGTTGATGCTGGTCCAAGACTGTTTAATATCTTTATTAATGACTTGGGGCAGAGTGCATTCTCATCAAATTTGTGGGTGATACCAAATTAGGTAGAGCAATCTATACACTGGAGAGCAGGGCAGCTATGCAGAGGGACCTCAACAACCTGGAGAAATGGTCTGAGGAACCTCAGGAAGTTCAGCCAAGGCAAATGCAAAGTTTTGCCCCTGGAATGCAAAAGCTGTGTAACAGGACAGGCTGCATAGGTGACTGGATAGAAAGTAGCTTTGCGGAAAAGGAGCTGGGAGTCCTGGTGAACAAGACGTTGACCAGGAGTCAAGAGAGTGCCCTTTCGGGAAAGGTCAACTGCAACCTGGGCTGTATTAGCAGGAGTGCAGCCTGCAGGTCAAGGGAAGGGGTTCTTCTCCTCTCTTTGACATATCTGAGACCATGTCTAGAGTACTATGATCAATTTGGAGCTCCCCAGTGCAAGACATTGACATACTGGGGCGAGTCTAGCAGAGTCCATTAAGATGGCCAGGGGCTGGAGAACATGAAATATGCAGAGGCTGAGAGAGCTGGCTTTGTTCAGCTTGGGGAAGACGAGAGACCTTATTGCTGTCTGCAGCTACCTGATGGGAGGATGCTGAGAAGAGAGATAGGCTCTCCTCAGAGGTGCACAGTGACAGGATAAGAGGCAGCAGGCATATGTTGGAAGAGCAGAAATTCCCTTCAGAGAGTAGGAGGAACATTTCCTCTATGAGGGTGGTCAGACCCTAGGATAGGGGCCCAGAGAGGCTGTGGGATTGCCATCCTTGGATTATCCAAACCTCAACTGGACAAATTTGAGACACCTGATCTAGCAGAAATTGCTTTGAGGAGGGGGGGCTGAGCCAGAGACAACCAGGGCTCATTTCCAGCCTCAACTATTCAGTGACATTGTGAGCCTCAACTATTCAGTGACATTGTGAGAGGAGATCCTTCCTTCCAAAGAGCATTAAAGGGCCAAGGAACCCAGCACTGTAGCCACAGGAAAGATAATGGTGTTGTGTGCTTAGAAAACCCTCATTAGTGCCTAATGTGCATTGTCCCAAATATGCTTTGCTCATATCCCTTTGCCAGAGCTGACTGTAAGCCTTTGAGTAGTGGCAGCTTACCTGATCCTCAGGAAGGCAGTGTCTCTGTCTTCACAGGACCCTACAAGCCTGAATCAGAATATCATACTGAACAAATACTTGGACTATCAACATACCTTTCACTTTAATATTGCTATTAAATATATAGCATAAAACTATGTTTACCTACTATAGTATATGCACATATACTGTGTGTATATGTATATATACATATATATGCATATTTAGTGCATTATAGCTCTACACTGTGTATATATATATATTCAGTGTCCACCTTGCAGCACCAGAGTGAATAATAACTGTCTCTTGATGAAACTAGGGGTTTACTTAGAAAATTTAGCACCATTTATCGTTTGCAGCCCCTGCAATCTGCCACTTACCAGAGCCTCAGGTGAGCTGTAGGGTACCTAAATGCAGGGGTTCCCCCCATGCCCATGTCTTTGGGCTTGGAGCAGGATTCACCTAGGCACAGGTGTCCAAGAACATTCAAGGTGTCCCAGGATCCCTGTGACATTTGCACATGGGTGTCTGACAGTAATTCAGGTGACCAAATGCAGGCTTATAGTGAGCTGAAACACACGTGAATGTCTCAGATACCGAAGGGGTGCCTAAGCAGGTTTGAACATGGATCCATAGCCCTATGGCTGTGCACTCCTAAACCTGGGTGTCTCAGCCTGTAAGCTGAACCCTTGATTCCACTGTGACTAATCAAGTCACAAACACCCCAGAAAGGGTGGCTGTTCCCCTCTTGGTTGCTGCTGATGGGTTGTTCTGGTTTCCAGATGTTCGGCAGCTGCCACCCAGCCACAAGCAGCCCTGTTGCACCACACCATAGGGGTGGGGAGGGCAGCAGCCATCCTTCTCCCAGTGTACCCAGGCAAGGACTACAGAAAGGGATTTTTTTTAGCTTCATCGCCGTTCCTCCATCTGAGTGACTGCCAGAGCAAAACCAGACAGGACCAGGGTACTCCATTTGGCTCTCTGCACTCTTCTTCATAGTAATCTGGGAACAGCGGTTTCCTCTTTACATGTCCCTACCTCTCTTCCTTCCAGACCCAGCTCTGCTGCGACTAGCAAATGGCTCCAGCCGCTGTGCAGGGCGGGTAGAGGTGTTCATCAAGCAGCTGTGGGGCACGGTGTGCAATGACGGCTGGGATCTCCTGGATGCTGCTGTGGTGTGCCGGCAGCTGGGTTGTGGCATGGCCCTGCTGGCCTCAAGCTCAGCTCAGTCTGGGCAAAGATCCAATCCTTTTAGACTCAGTTCAGTGCACTGTTCAGGGACAGAGGGGTCCCTGATGGAGTGCAGCGCCCTGCAAGTCAATGACTGCCACCACAGGGAAGATGCCGACGTGAAGTGTGCAGGTAACCATCATTCTCATTACATTCACAGCAGTGTCAAGGTCATGCTGTTGGGGGCAGGCAGGAGGCTGGGCTGATCTGCTCATAATGGAGGTCTTTAAGGTAAACAGCAGTAAATGTAGTAAAGCCATCTGTGGCATTTCACCAGCTACACAAGCACTGAGTCATCTTGCATGGGGCCAGGGACATGCAAGAGAGACACAATGTGGGCAGCTATGGAGGGGCAATGATGACCTCTCTTCCAAAGCAAGTCATACCTATCTAACTGCTTAGCCTGACTTCACTGAGCACTGCTTTTGCTCATGAAATTCTCCTGGCAACACAAGCAAAATTGTAAAAGTACATCGGATACTGATTGACCATGGGATAGCAGTGTTGGTTTGACCAAGGATAGATAAGAGTCAAGCCAACATCAACCAATTGGCAGCTCTGGGGATGGTCTGTCATTGCCGATGAGGTCAGATGGCTCAGTCAGGGAGGAAAGTGTGTAATTGCATGAGAACCATGATGTAGGACCATGAGATGCCAGCAGACTGCCCTGGGGATCTCCACTCCCATCAGCTGCTGGGCAGCCCCAGTGATGCCCTGAGTGCTCCTGGCCTTCCCAACCATGACAGTCAAGGATGGGGAGTGCAAGGGGTAAAGCAGATGCATTTCTGCAACAGCAGGGAAAAGCCTTGATGTGGACTCCTCTCCACCACCTCTAGGAGGAATCAGCTCACCTACTTCATTGTGGATATTGCAGAGCCTGCTGTGTGTCTCTCTTGCATGTGTCCTCTGCTACATGCTGCATGCCCAGTCCCCTGCTACATCCTTCATGAGTCTGACCTTTCTCTGATGCATCCTCCACATGCTGTCCTCTTCTCCAGTGCATCCAGTATCGACTACACTTGGTACATCCTTCATACTCTGCCCACTCTCACAGTGCATCCTCCACATGCTGCCATCTGTGTGGTGTATCCTCCAGAGTCACCAGTCAAGCAATTCTTCACTGGAATCCCTATTTCCTTGAACCACAGATACCATCTCACACTAAAGCAGAGCATTCCCCTGACCACTGTTGTCTGGGTCACCAGAAAGTGCCATAGAGATATTCCTTCTGCCCAGGGCTGTCCTTGCTCTCATCCACGTTTGGGGCTGGGTTGAGTGCTGCCATGTGCACAAGTCCCTGAAGACAAGGACTCAGCTGGGCACAGCTCTGGGAGTGTTTCCCTTTACAGGACACATTTTTTTCTGGGCTCTTTGCTGGCCAAGTGCCCCTCATCCTGGCTCATGGGTATGGGGCCAGCCCCATGCCTGGGACAGGCAGGAAGGCTCCAGGCTGGAAACATGGCTAGCACAGTCAGAAACATCTGGGAAAAATGGAGGGGTTCCCCACCCCCTCAAAGTCCCCTGCTTCACATTGCAGCTCCAACATGCTGAGCTGTGTACATGTCCCTCATCCCCATGCCCCCCCTTGCTCTGGGCTGTCCATGCTCCCTTGTTTCAGAGCCGCCCCAACTACGACTGGTGAACGGGTCGGGTCCATGCGCTGGGAGAGTGGAGGTGCTGCACAATGAGCAGTGGGGGACGGTGTGCGATGATGGCTGGGACCTGCCAGATGCGGAGGTGGTCTGCTGGCAGCTGGGCTGTGGGGCTGCAACCTCAGCCAATGGCTCAGCGGAGTTTGGGAGAGGATCTGGCTCCATCTGGCTGACCGAGGTGCAATGCCAAGGGACAGAGGCTACCCTGGCTGCATGCAGGGCCAAGCCATGGGGAGTCCATCACTGCAGCCACCGAAAGGATGCCAGCGTGGTGTGTGCAGGTACCTCCTTCTCTGTCCCATTTGCCATTATAATACTGGTCTTCGGGAAAGGCAGCTGGCAACTGTGGGAGGGTCCCCAGTCCTTTGGAGCAGTGGGAACACCACAGCCAGGCATGCTGTGAAAGTATGGTGTGCAAAGGATTGGTTCCAAGGGGAAGCTGGTCCCCATTTGCACATCCATCATGGCGCCTAGCAGGGTCCCTGCAGCCATGATCTTGCTGGCTGTGCAGGGTGAGGAGCTGGTGCCCAACGGTGCTGGCCTCACCGTAACGCGGGGCAGAGCTGGGAGCAGCCCTTCTTCTGGTCCCACCCAAGCTCCTGCCAGAAGTGCCCGCTCCCCCACCAGGCTGCATGGGCCCGTTTGGCACATCTGTTTGCATTTGTGCCCCACTCGTCTCCCGCTGCACCTCCCAGGTGTGGGGAGAGCTGCATCGGTCAATGTGGGGGCAGGAAGAGGAAGGAAACGTCTGTGGCCGCTGGGTCACCTTGGCCTTTGCACGTGTGCCTCCTGCAGAGCCGAGTGAGGTGCGGCTGGTGAACGGCTCCGGGCGCTGCTCGGGACGGGTGGAGGTGCTGCACGACCAGCGCTGGGGCAGCGTCTGCGACGATGGCTGGGACCTGCTGGACGCGGAGGTGGTGTGCCGGGAGCTGGGCTGCGGGGCGGGGCTGTCTGGCCCCGGCTGGTCCC